GTACCAATGACTCCAGCACACCACGGCTGGTGGCTACAGCCCTGGAAACCCAGACCCAGGGATGGTGATGAAGTTTCAGGAAGAAGCCAGTCTTGAGGAATGACGTTATGACTGAAGATTTCTGCAAAAAAGCCGTGAGGAGGTGCATTAGAATACTTTCTAAAGAGCAGGTGAAGAGGCTAGACTGCCCCAGCTGGCAAATTTGGAACAGCTTCAAAATTCCTTTGAGAGAGGGCGAGAATGAAGGGGAAGCTGCAACTGCAGAAGTTCCACCACAGGCCCATCAGGAACTTCGGGCCACAAAGAGCAGAACGCTCTTGGTGGAACCCTGTGCTGACTGCTGACTGCAGAGCAGATCCAGACAGCAGCATGCCCACTGTAAAGATGAGGCCACCAGGGTGCAAGGCTGCTTGAGGCACAGGCTACACAGGGAGCAATACTGGAATCCAGATAGTCTCAGCCCCTTCTCTCTCTCCAAACACAACCCTGCTCTGATACATCTTCCAATCTGGCTGGGTGGGCAGGAGGCAGCAGGATACAGCCCAGGCCTTCCTCAGTGGAGAAGGGCATGTTCCAGCCACACTACAAGCTACACAGGTACAGCAGAGACCAACCCCAGGATGATGGGGACACTGAATCTGGGGCAGAATGCTGACACAGGGCTTGGGGTCAGAGGCAAATTTCAACTCTCTCTACCAAAAGTTGCTTTATTTTAGTAAAATACTGCTGTCCAACTGGTCTGAGAACCTCAGGTGGAAAACCTGTTTTAAAACAACTCCAATGGGTGAATTATGCTACAGTAGGAACCAAAATTTTTCAACAGGATTCAGGAGACCAACAGAAAGCAAGTGGCACAGGCCAGTATAAAAGAGAATAAATAAAGTCACAGAGCCATCACCCTGAGGCATTATTATTAATATTATCTGGACTATTTATATTACTCTGTTACTAACATATCAGCAGGATTACCATGAGGAATACTATTTCAGACATGAGGAAAGTGAGGCTTAGCAATACGTGCTTGGGAGAAGTGATAGCTGATGTGCTGAAAAGTGGACTTGGGGTACTTGTTCCAGAGTCCAGAGAAGTGAGTGAGCATGAGGAGGTAGGAGAAGAAGGGTACTGAGTGTGAACTGACTGACGTCAGGGGGAGCACAGGGAAGTCTGCAGAATCATCTGGCTGATTTGGGGACAGACTGGGGGCTTCTGTATCTTGTGGCTCAGGACAGGAAAGAGACAGAGCAGTGGGGAGACATGACCAAATAATACTGGGCTGCACTTTAGAGGATACAGACATCATAATATGCCAACAGCTGGAAATGAGGCGAGAGAGGGTTGCTCTGTTTTGTTGGGTTTTGCTTGAGCAACTAGAAAGAAGAAATTGATTTTCTGAGATGGGGAAGAAACAGGTCTGGAGGAAGAAGGTTGAGAGTAGAGGTACTCTGGACATGCTGATACCCAGATCCACATAGAGACTGAGGAGCATCTGCTGACAGGTGGAGGCCTGCACATGGGGCAGACACCATCTCAGGGCAGCATGGGGCACCCTTTCTTCTTAGGAAGAAAGAAGGGCCTGTGAAGCAACTGATGCCAAGGTGGGTGATGATGGGGTCCAGATGCCAGCCTCATCAGCCACTGGCCACACAAGCCCCACTGGGCAGGCAGCTCCATCGGGCCACCACCAAAGCACCCCTAAGCAGACATACAGCACAAGTGGGTCTCTGCACCCTGGTGGTCTCAGGGCTGGGGTTGTGCTGCCTCTCTGCATGGCCTCCCTTGTCTCCTGCCTATATCCAAGAAGACCAACCACCCTCCCTAAGACAAAAGCATGAGAAGCCTCCCAAAGCCAAGTCTCAGGCCTGTATACCCTCCACTCTGAGAGTCAAACACAGGTGCCTGGGTAGGAGTCCAAGAAGAAAAGCTAAGCTGCACTTTGGTCTTCCTTTCCGGAACAGACCTCGCTCTGCTTGGGGCCTGAGCCACTTCCTGACTATCTCTGAGCAATGGTAGCAGGGATGTGGTGGCTGTCTTTCTGGAAGAAACTCATACCAGAACACCAGCTCTCGAGTTTTAAACATCAAACCCTGTTAAGGCTGAGTACAAGGGATGCAATTTAACTTGGGAAACAGAGAGATGA